CCTTGTTCTATATTTCTGAGAGACCTACACCCCTTCCATCACCAAACCACCTCAGCATCTCAAACCTGAATAGATCAATCCCTATGTTACTATGAGGAAATGGTTCACTGTTGCTTTTTTTTTTTTTTTTTTTTTTTAAATCCAGGTAACTTGAGCACATACAAGGCAAAGGTGATACTTCAAGAGCTGCTGAGGTGCCCATACTCATTAAAATCACTAGAAGTTAACTGCCTCTAAATACCTTTACAAATATGGTATTAAGTGATATGCCTCAGCATACAAGTACATAGGTTGCACAAACTCACTGTTTCCCTCACCCCGCGTGTAGTGGGTAGTAAGACCAAGAGCAGCATAAAGCACATCTGCTGGTTTTCAAACTAGCTTGGCATATATTTGCTTTTACCTCATATATGTATATATATATAGCACTTATGAGTTACCACTGCATTTTCAATTATGGTGGAGCTGAGCAGCAGATATTACCTTATGCAGAACTACTTCTGGCAATTGCACTTGTTCCAGATTTTCAGCATTTGCTTGATGCAGCTGAGATGAATGCAGCACAATTTCCAATGATTTCTTTTTTCTCCATCTTAATTAGAACTTTCCAGTATTTGCTGAATGAAACGGGAAAAACTGAGAAAGAGCAAGTGTTCAGCATTTTAATACAGCCCTGCACCATGATAACAATAATAGTCTGCTTGGCTAACATTCAGGTAAAGATTCTTTAATATTATTGAGACAAAGTCACCTTCCAAAAACAGGCTGAATTTTGCTCATGTTGACCTTGAACTTCACTCTGAAACAAATTTTTCCCTGGATATTGCCTGATGCCAAACACATTTCAACATTGCCTGCTTCCTTTGATGAAAAAAGGTAATGCAATTGTGTTAAGAGTGCAATTCTGTAAGACAAATAGTGTGCGGTTAGCAGATAGTCACAGCTGTGTTGAAGCAGACACTTGAAATAACAGAATAGGATAATGTAAAGGAAAAAGAAGAGTTATTAGCAATAACTGAAAGATTGTTTGGAGACCATCGGTAATTTGTGGTTACCAATGCAGAGATATTTGAAACAGGAACACAATCATTTATTTCCTAAAAGCTAACAAAACAAACCTCCTTTCCAAAGAAGCTTGTTCTCACTGACCAAAACATTAGTAAACATCCAGCTTCCCTCTTTTTCACTAATTGTGAAGACTTGCATTCAGTACAGTTATCCACAGTCATCTGAGCTGGGATATCTCTGTGCTTCTGTTCTCACCCACAACCAACCTCCCCTGGCAAAAAAAGTTAGAGGAGCATAAAGGAAGCCCTCATTTACTCCTTGGAGAGTAGCTGTAATACTGGCATGCTGAAATACCCAGGTGTTGTGTTCTCTTTATTATCAGTATTTACATGGAGCTGGAGCTAGAGGAGAGAGAAAAGCAGAGGAAGAGAGGAAATGGCCATACAATATATGTCAAATAGAGGAATGCTGCTTTCAGTAGTTAAATGGATAGAGAAAAAATTAGACTTTGCAAAGATTTTAAGTGACTGTATTTGCATGTTATATAATTTGTAGTCCAGGAAAACTGGGAAAAAAAAAAAAAAAAAAAAAAAACACACAAAGGGAGTTTCATTATTAGTATCATAAAACAAACAGTAAAATATATTGCACGCTGGCAGACTTTCTAAACTACCAAGGAAGTGTGAGTGACAGGGAAAAAGTTAATCAGAATACAGTGGCAAAGAATTAAAAGTAATTTAGTAGTAGATGTGTAACCAGTTACCTGGGAAAGCAAGGAAAGGAGGGAGGAACAGAGCGTTCACTAAAATTAAAGACACATCTGCAAGCGTTCGTTATTAAAACTGCAGTTATTCTCTCCCCACTTCAAATGCTGTTGGAAAAGTAAACCTGCTGCTGGGTGAAGGCATGGCTAAGGCACGGAGCCTCAGAAAGTAGCACGTGAAAAGCAGAGGCCGTGCTTTAAAGTGGTCAAAGAACATCAGAACTTTGCAGCTTCTTCCAAGGTGCTGCCTCCCCCCACCATGCTGAGCAGTCCTTCTGTCGTGTCGCGCTCGAGGGGCTGCGATGCTGCTTCATGGGGAGGGCAATTTACCCTCTGCTCTTCAGCTCTTCTATTGTAACACCATGACTTTTCTCTTTAAAAAGCAAATCTTGAATGAGGCTTTCTATTCCCCCCAGCGTGGATAATATGATTCAGTCCTATACACCCAGATTGGCCCAAGCTCTCGCTTTCTGTAGAAGTTGGTCTGAAGTTTGCTGCTAACAGGTCTGTAGTAAAGAAGGGTCATCGCAGCCGAAGGCAGTCTTACAGGCAGCATCACATATGTACTCATGGTCTAGCTGTATTTGCTATAAGCCCTATGCTGAGCCTACAAAAATGAATGAAAAGACCCCAATTCCTAGAAAGCCACTTCCCAATTGTGTACTATTAAAGAAGCTTGCAGGCATCTCTGTTTATGTATGTAAAACCTCCTTAGGGAAAGTGGGCCCAGAGCTCAGGGAGACTAATGGTCTCTACATAATGGGTTGAGCTACTCTGTAAAGGTTCAGAGGATCAGAGCTAACGGTGTACGGTGTCAGAAATCTCAATGGCACAGAAGTGGTATCTCACAGCAGTAGGATGGAAATTGCCCACCTCTCTTCACTGTCTTAAAAATGATGAAGTTGACTTAGATGAGGTTTTAATTGAATTTACCTTTTCCTTTCATCTGCTCTTCAGTCTTCTTATTGCAACTTGTAAGGCTTCTCCAATTTCCAAATTGATTTTCTTATAATTAATTGGACAATTAACTGTAACTTAGTAATTATTTATCAAGTATGCTAATTATGCAAATATCTACAGATCTAAAATATATCCACATTCATTGAATTTAATAACAAGGCATTGCTGTGGATATTACAGAACTGTTCTTCACTTGCACCAAATATTTGAAAGTCAAATGTTAGGATTATATTTGCTTTCACAGACCTCATAGGTTTTTGAAATGTGTTGTAGAATAAAATTACCGCATTGATCAGAGACTCAAAAGCTCTTGAAGACTTTTTTAGAAAAAAGTGAAAATTGTTTTGAAATTTGCATCACACTTCCAGGCTAATACAATGGTCCCTTGATGACAGTATCAGTATTCAGCTTAAGGAATTGTAGGGAACATCACAGCCAACAACACAGACTCCCTCTGGCAGGGTTACTCAGTGTAGTAAGTTTTCTATCCTGTTTTATAGGTGTAACCCTGATTCTGAGTGTCTCAATTCTCCAACCCTTTTCCCCGCCTTTGAAGTATGGTAGTAGTTCTGTTACCAGCATGTGCTTAGAGTCCTAACACAGTATAGGAGAGGGAACTGGGTGTGTGGATCACTGCCAGCAAAAAAAGGACTATGAGAGGCCACACTTACTGATTCCAGTTCTCTGCCATCACAGGTCAGCATGCAATAGCCTCTTAATGCTGAAAGGTCTGTAAAGCATCCCTTTCATGTACCCCAAACCCTACCCATAAGCCATAAAACATTCCAAAACTTAAGTTGGTGGCTCCTGTTTTTTTTTTTTTTTAACAGTCAAGGTTACAGCACACTGCAGAGAAAATTGAACAGTCACTGAAAAGGTCTTGGAGACCTGCAGTAGACCAGCAGCTTTTTGCCTGTTAATTAGCCCGTCCCCAGCTGCTTTCTAGCTTCAGAGATTGGCTTTTTGCTACATGTTAATGCATATCCTAAACCACTTCTTAAATGGAATCAAGTTAAAATAAAAGCAGTATCTTCTCATCAGACAGACTTAGCAGCTCAGCTATACCAAATCAGCCAACAGTTCTACATAGTACCCTGTACCACAGTACTCATCAGACACATTATTAAACCATGCTTTCTGCTCTTCCTTTTGTGGACAAGTTCCCCTTATAATGCATTGTTTCTGCACCTGTTCTATCATTTGCACTCATAGAGCATCTCTGAGAACCAGTCAGTCATGTTTCAGGCTCCTTGTATTTTGCTGTTTGATTAGACTGATGTGAAGCACCATGTCATTTTGGATTGAATAAATGGCAATAGCTAATATTCTGAAAGAGTGAGTACGAAAGGAGGAGCAATTTTACTTTTAACGACCTTGGCCTGGATACTACTTGTTTCCATGCTTCATTTGTCTTCCCTTTTCATTCATAATATCTCTACCAATCCAGAGGACACTCATGTTTCATATAGAGAACCAAAGAACCATAAATGGCAGTTCTTGCCACTTTGTCTCATTTCAGAGTCCCTCCTATGTCTATGATTAGCGACATCTTTTGAATTATGGTCAGTTCTGCACTTCTGCATTTTTTGCTGCTGTTTTCAACTCTACTTTCTCATGAGTCGCTCAGAGGAAGGTGAAGACACTGAACCGGAAAAACTGTTCAGAGTTATATGGCAGTTTCTGCGATTAGCTATTTTTATTTTTATCACTGAGAGACAAAACATTGGAAATACTTGGCCTGCAGGTATTTGTGAGTAATGTTAAAATATCCATCATCATGACTAGTTAGAAAGCTAGAAGGCTATTTTTTCTTTGGAAAATTAAGTTACATCAACATTTTCTTTAAGAGGAGGGATTCTTCCTGACAGTTTGATGTCAAACTTGCTTCCCTTGCACCCTCCTTGTCAAAGGTACTTTTTCCTTCCATGGCTTCTATTGAGCATTGCTCAACGCTTTGGCTTATGAGTGAGAAGAAGAAAGGAAAGAAAAAAAAAAAAAAAAAAAAAAAAAAAAGTAAGTATAATGCATTCCCTAGGGTTAATGAATTTGCTGATAAATCCTTAGCTTTTTGATGGGAAACTGAAATTAAACTATTTAGCCAAATTCTGTTGTCACTTCCACCTGTGAAGTCTGGAGTCCTCCACTGAAGTCTCTCTGGATCTATTCTGGTATTTAGAAGATCAAAGTCTGACCTCTTACTGCTACACCAACAAGACACTTTGTTAATTCAGTCACTTTCCTCTCTCGTGCTAATCATACAATATCTTACCTTAACCACAGCAAGATGATCTTTAACGTCCCTTCCAACCCAAACCATTCTGTAATTCTGTGAAGATGTAGTGGCAGTCAGTACTTAGAATTCCCTGGTAAATGAGAAGAAATTATAAAGGATCAGGGTCTCTTGCATTTTTTGGATCAAGTTCCCAACCTTCCTTGCACTTTACAGTCCACTGCAAAACAAACGGCCTTCGGATACGCAAAAGGCACAGGTGCTATGCACAACTAGGTGCCGGCTCTCCCACTGGCAGCGGCCGGCCTTGCAGGGAAACCTCTGCGCGTAGCCAGGGAAGAAATTTACCGATCCGCCTCAGGCCAGTGGCAGCCCTTGCACAGAAGCAGCAATGGAGGAGAAAGACCCCCGCCTTCTCCAACGGCGGCCGGGGCCGGGGCCGGGGCCGGGGCCGGGCCCCGGAGCGGCCGCCGCTCTGCCCGCCCGCCGCGGTCCCGCAGTGCCGCCTAGCGCCCTCCTGCCGCCCGTCCCGCTCCGGGAATAAAACCGCGGAACGAGCGGGAGGGGCCGCGGCCGGCGCAGGGCCCCCCGCCCGGGCTGTGAGCGGGCAGCCGCCTCGCCGCGCCCGGAGAGCCGCCGGGCCGGGCTGGCGCAGGGGCCCGGCCTCCGCCGGCGGCGGCCCGAGCCCTGAGGGGGCGCGCGGGGCCGGCGGGTGGCGCCGCCGAAATGGCGGCGGGGGCCCCGGCTCGGGCTGCGGAGGCGGAGGGGCAGGCAGGCTACCGCGGTGCTGTCGCTCCCCAGAAACGGACGGGGACAGGCTTTGAGCCAGAGCACCCGAGTCATTTTTTTTCAAAGCAATTCAATTTCCCTTGTGATGCTTAGGACCTTGTTTGTTTGTTTGTTTTCTTTATGAAAGGCTAAAAACAGCCGGCATGGATGGAGTATTTGCTTCCTTACGGAAAGCTGGCAGAAGAAAATAGCAATGCCTTCCTCCAGGGAGTGCTGAATCTCCAGTCCAATTTCAGATACACATCTGGTATCTGACCACAGACAAGTCACCTAACTGCTTTCAGGGCCTTCGTGAGGAAAGGATGTATAATGCTGTGATACAGTCTAACTGATGACTGTAAAAATGCTACAAGCATTCATGGGAATGCTTTATAGGCTCGAAATTACTTTGCAAATACTGTGGTCTTAAAAAGGAATGGACACTATCAACATTTAGGCAAGAAGATAACCGAAACTCCTTCCCCAGAGATGCTTGCCGCCTTCATCTCAGCTGATGCTGCAGCCTGTGCTTATTCTGGATTATAGTAGGAGGTTGGCTGGTGTGACAACAAGAAATCAGAAGGATAAAATTCCAGCTGCTTTTAAAAATCCAGCACAGCTTCTCCATTTAGCTGGCAGGCATTGACTGTAACAATCTGTCTGAGCATGGGGAAGAAGAGCTGAAAAAAAATCAGATAATATTACCATATAGAATAAAGCAGTATATAGGCTGGGCTTGCTGGAGGGGGTGTCACATGTGCCAAATAGCACCTTAATGCATAAGACTATCGCCTCCAAAACAGGAGCTTTTTTTTGTGCATAGCAATTGCTGATCAGCAGTACGCATGTGCCTGCTGTTTCAGTCTACTTAGTTGTCCAAGTACCTCGGAAGGGAAGAGATTGTATCTAGTATGATCACTGGCCTAGCATTTTCACATCTGTTTCAGGTCATCCTTGTCAGTACGCTCTGTGATCTTCATGAGGGAAAAGGCATGTCTAACCAATGCTTAAAGTATAGTTTTTCTGAAGAGTTGGTATGCTCCCATTTTCCCTGTTCTAGTGGCAGTATTGCTGCACTCCCAGCCTTCAGAAGACGTTCAGCCTAGCTGTTTGAAAATCAGATAATGAGATTGGAGGCTTTGTCTAGCAAAGGAAACCCCAGCATTTCTTTTAATTGACTATTAAGTGTAAACATATGCCACTTGCAACCATCTTTCTGCAGCTAAGTGCTCAGAAGAGTTGATGGTTTTAAAGAAAACTCAAACTTCATATGTAAGAATAGCTGGAACCAATTTCCTGGTTGTGTTGATAATTAACCACTTAATTACTTTTTATAAAATCAAATGTCTCCTGGAGGGAGGAAGAGGAGAATCCATTATATTTGTGATAAAATGGTGAGATTTGGCAACACTGTCAACTGCAGTGTTGATGATCAGTAGGCTTTGCTCTGCAGGTGTGATCCAGGCTATGTGGCCAGCACACACAGGCACCCTTTGCAGGGTGACTGGTGTAACTGTCCTGTTGATGATGGTGTCATAAAATGCAGCTGCTTGTGCTGGTGCCTTGCTGCGCTAAGAGATCTGAAGCTGTGCTGTGAAGTCTGAGGCTTAAATCTCTTTTTGTATGCTTTGTGATGCAACTCTTGGGGGAGAAGATAAAAGACTAGCATCAGATTGGCGCAGGGTATTTATCCAGGATGAAGAGATTGAGGTTTGAGTCTGGATTGTGGAGTGCAAGAATGTAACCCCAAGGGGAGCCTTGCAGGCATCTGGAGGAAGCACAGCATCGATGATTCAGAGTTTCTCCAAGAAATCTCTCTGGATGGGTGTTTAGTCAGAGCAGGTGGATTTTCCTCAACATTCAGTTTCACCTCATTGGTTAGTGACACAGTAAATTGTGCTGCTGGACTGAGAGTTGGAGTGTAACAGCTCTGGTGGGCCTGACAGCCTTTGAACATTTTGTGTGACCTCATTTTTCTGTGCATCTGACTACAGCGTAGCAGTCGCAGTGCTTGAGTGACTTTATTTACTGCTGCTAACAGACATAGAGAGAAGCTCTTGTGACTGAGGTCATACATGCCTGTGGGAAGACAGTCCAGAGCCAGACCTGGGTGAGCTTTTTCTGATAAGGATGGATCTGGCCCTGTTTAGTTCAGCAGTCCATCGTTGTGAAGTGGACAGCCCACGGGGCACAACTACCAATTTGTTTTCTGCAAGTGAAAAGTGCTGCTAACTGCACCAGTAATACTCCATTGCCCTGGCAGTTGGGTGGCTCTTGAAAGATGGGTTGGTGTGGTAAGGCAACTGCTGCTGTCTCAAAGTTACAGAAGGTGTTGCAGAAAGGCTGCTTGCTTTGAGCTCCAGAGTTCTGGTACTGTGAAGGGATCTTATTTTCTTAGGGGTTCTTCGAGAAATTTAGACCTTTCTGAGTTTGTTGAAGAATTTCTGTTCTGTACCACAGGATACCTGATACCTGCACCTGTGGAAGCAATGTAAATAAGAGTAGAATTTAAGGCTGTACAGAAAAAAAAAATACCGAATATCTTGTGTAGATGTGAAAGTCTTGGCTTAATGCTACCAAGAATCCTTAACTTCAGAGCAAAAAATCTCCAGTCCCGCTCTAATGTTGTCCTTTCACAGCTTGTTAAGTTGTTTATGCCTATGCAGAGTCAGTTTTAAATTGCTAGCATAACAGATTGATGGTATTCCAGCATGGCTTTTCCAAGGGTTAAGGGGAGATCAAGTTATCATTCTCTCAAAGGTATCAATCATCTCTGTGGGTAGCACAATGATACTCTGTTTTCTGTCCCCATTAAGCTCTTCAGCTCAACAAGAGTGTCTATGCTGAAGTAATGGAGGGGCCAGCCAATGCCTGTTGGCTTAGCTGCAGTATTCCCAAATTACAGTCTGCTTCCCATGCCAAACTGCAAAGCACTCCTTGTAAGTGGTCCCTAGAACCATTTGAATAATGTGGGAACATGACAGCTAGCTGCTGTTTGGCCTGGGAAATTTTTAGGACTGTTACTGCTCTAATGATTTAAAATATTCCAGAAGCACAGATTTGGAAACTTGCAAAGTTCTTGAGGGTGCTGAAGTTGTTCACAGCCGTTTTCAAACCAGCTCTAAGGAACAGAGCCTACTGCATGCTGAGGTCCATGCCAGTCCAATTCATAAAGGCAAAAAGAGACCATTGCTGCTTCTTCAAAGATGCCTGCTGATACTTGCTGCTGGACTGCTCACACAGCTTTTGGTTTGAGGACCTTTTCATCTGCATGTTAAAGCAAACAAATTGGCTGTCAAGAGATGCAGACATAAAGTTTTCGTACAGACTGAGCAGTTGCTGCTGGATCATGACTCAGACTTCCTGGTAATAAACATCACCAAACCTACATTCTGAGCACTGGTCCTGCTGGTTTAGAGTACTGTCATTCCTCCAAACACTGGCAACTGAAAACACTTGCTGCCAATGTGTAGGCAATGCAGATTGTACTTAACAGCCGTTGAACTGTGACAATAACTGAAGGAGCTGGGACTGCTCAGCTTCTGAGTAAGCACATGTGTAGATACAATTTGAAGAGTCTGTGCAAGTTCCAACTCAATGACTGAACAGAATCGAAGGTCATCATGTCTCTGTGCAGGTTCCCCATCTGTATTCACATGGAGCTTGATTCTGAGGATGGCTAAATCCACTCAGCTATTTAAAGAAACCTGCATGCTCACAATGTCTTTAGAAACAAAGTTATTTCTGGCAATGCCTAATAAAGATCCATAGATTTGAAAGTGTTTGGTGATATTCTGATGCTACTCAGATATCATTACTGATACAAAAGTCCTGCATATGTCAGTAATACTGTGACAAATACGTTTAAAGTAGTATAACTCCTGGAAGATGTGTATATAATGCAGATAGATGTGATAAATCTTTTATTCAATTTGATTTATATATGAATGTAGCCTTTGTAAAAGAATTTGAATGAATCAGGATTTGCTTTCAATGGTGACAAGGCATTTATTCATATTTCTCTTGACTGATGCGGAATTTCTCATATCTGCCACAGGCTGTGAAGCACAGTAATAAGGGATTTGGCATTTGAATGCAGGCAGTTGCATTAGAAGGTGTGTGGGGCAAGGATTGACAGACAGCAGAGCTTGTCTGGGAATTTTTCATCTTTAAGACAAATCCCACTAATGTCGAGAGGAAAATACCCAACTTCAAGTATAGCAGTCTCAGGACAAGTTTCAGATCCTTGATTTAAAATTACAGTAGTTGTCAAGCACACCCATGTTTTATTGACACAGATACACTAACAAGGAATACTATTTTTGAATGTTATAATTATATCCATAGGGCATTAAAGTGGGAGACTGAAGGAATACAATTTGTTCTGCTAAACACAAAGCTGTTTGAGATGTGATTTGGCAATAATGTAGAAATAACTGTATTGGAGGGAAGCACCTTGATTCATGTTAGGAAGACACAGTACTTTTAGATTATAAAAACCTTAAAAGTCAGCATGAGCTATTAACAATGAGGCCAATTCACAACTGAAAATGTATGAAAATCTTTACTGGTTTTCTCCGTTATTTGATGGCCTCAGATCGGATGCATTATTTGTTTGAGCATTGTGTTCTTAGGAATATTTGGGCTCTTTTCTGTCCTTGAGTTTGTAAAGGAAGTCAAG